CACTACTCCCAACATCTAATTTCTATAGTCCTGTCACCTCATATGATTTGTTCTTATTCATAATAAAATTTTCCATATCTCTGGTATGGGTGTTGCGTCATCTCTATTACATGTGTTACTTGTTGATTCAATGAACAACAATTCAGTAGTCAATCAATCTCTCTCTCTCCCCACCTGATTATATTGGAGTTGAGTACTGTGGAATTATCCCCTCCTATTGTGTGCTTATGTGTTAATGTATCCATTGCAATAGTTGGATTACCTTCTAGATTGTTGATCTTATTGGGGTCTGTCACTCTGTATTTATTAGCTACATTCCTATATTCGGCTATTCTAACTAACCCCAACAGGCTAGTTTCACCAACGTGCTTGACCTCACAGTCATTACATGGAATTTGATAATCTTGCTTGATTGGTTCTATCGGATCCTAAAGCCAGCCGACAAAGCATATCTCTGAGTGAGTTTGTAAGTTTAAATGCCACCCTAATTCCAGCTTTGTTGAGAATCCTACCTAAAGTTTCTGATGTAGCTTTCTTATAGGGCAACACAATGGAGGCTATGAACTCCTTTCTACTCATGTTGTCGTTATTATTTGTTCTCGTGTTTCCGTCATCATTTCGCTTCTTGTGTGCTCATACGAATTTTTCAATAAACTGCGGAGGATAATTATTAACTATTAGTGCTTCTTTTACTTATTCCAGTTCCTTGTTTAAGCTTTTGCACTGACTAGTCAGTTTTCTAGTTCTATCACTTAGATATTTGACTAAGCCTGCCTTCACTGACTGACATTGGATGGGATGACTTGAAGTCTAGATACCTGTTGGAATGTGTCGGTTTCCTGTGGACGGTTATATCCAAACCACCAATGTCTGTCCTTCGTTTCATCCTCCTATTCAACATGAGTAATTCTCCTTGTTCACTTTCTACCTGCTCGTAAGCCAATTCGATTGCGCCTACTATTGAGTTTATTGTGTGAAGAAATTGTTGATATGTTCCGATTTCAATACAGTAAATGTGTCACCCACATATAGCCATCATATTTTTGGTGCAGGAGTGAACGTTTGTAAAGCCATGTTTTCCCAACTATCCATAAACATATTTGCTACGATTGGGGATATTGGTGATCCAGTTGGGATGCATGCGTTAACACACAAGCACACAATAGGAGGGGATAATTCCACAGTACTCAACTCCAATATAATCAGGTGGGGGGAGAGAGAGATTGATTGACTACTGAATCGTTGTTCATTGAATCAACAAGTAACACATGTAATAGAGATGACGCAACACCCATACCAGAGATATGGAAAATTTTATTATGAATAAGAACAAATCATATGAGGTGATAGGACTATAGAAATTAGATGTTGGGAGTAGTGTGATTATATTGATGTGATAATGAGGCATAATTTATGGTGGAATCGTCATGAATTAAATAATACTGTATCACTGTGTGTGAATAAACAAATCTAATACTGAAACTTGAGTTATGTATTCAAAAAGAAGCAATGTTGTCTTTCTGGACCTGATAACCATGTCTTTCCACATTTTCTCCACATTTTTTTGTCATTTTACTAAAAATTCTTCATGGTAAATGTAGCTGATGTGTGACCGGCGAAATAAAATGTTTTCCTGATTTCATCTTTTTTCACTCTCTATTCCACTACTCAAAGGGGAATATACACATGCCAACGAAAAAGGTTAATTCATCCACTAGGATTCAAGTTGAACAAATTATCGTCAAGGAAATCAATTATCTTGCACCAAACACACATTGTATTGCCTTCTATTTAGATAGATCTGCGTTGATGAAATTTGCTTTTCTTCACATCCTGATCTACGATTTAATATTCAAAGTAGACAAATGAAAATACTGGAATATTTTCTTCAAAACTACAATGTCATACCACAAGTACCTCAAGTTATCTTGATGAAAAGGTAAGATTTTTATTTCAGTCTGTCCCTGTAAACAACAAGCTACTTTTTATTCGATGGATTCTAGGTATATTTCAGAATAACTACTTTTGTGGACAAGATTATAATTAAAAACCCTACACCCACAACATAACAGTTTGCGTAAATTTCTCTACCCATTAGTTTGCAAAGAGACTAGGAAACTTGGATAGCAGTGAGAGTGAATGGTTACATTATAATTTATCATTGTGTACAATTTTAAAAGAGTTATCTGGGTATCCCATCATATTTGTTCGACCGTATTAAGGAATTTTTTCTGTCGCTACGATATCTAGTTTATCTGTCTGTTAAGCATTGAACTGAGCAAACCAAACGGCTCATTTATAAGATTTCTGATTTCAACATTAAGTGGTATATGCTCAGATGTATCACGAGATGTTAGTTCCTTCGAGGTAGATGATGATACGCTATGCTGACAAATTCAAGCAAGCATGAGACATCAATTCAAGCCTATCGAGTGGCTGTTTCCAATTACCACGGTGTGAATTTTTGTTTGTTAACACCTACCATCCTAGCATGTTCAAACTGGACTCAGGTATACGCTAGATAAGCTGGCGATCAGTTACTGACTTGAATGGAAGGACAAGTTAGAGAAATATTTACAAGTTGTACAGTTAGCACTGACGATTCTCACGACTGAGAAGACTTTTAGTTGCTTCCCAACTACGCCAGCAGCAGGGTATCCGTCGGAAACCACCCAGTCAATGATCACAAGATGTGATCTCTAACTAAAAGCTGCAGTGAAGCAACGAAATATACTACTGAATAAAATGAATAGTAAGGAATATAAACTGGGACCATACAAAGTGATCAGCCTATTCAAGTTATACTTGTCCATCCAAGTCACATTTAGTTGACCTGAAGAATTCAACTTTGTGGACTGAATTTGCTCGCTCACAATATTGACTAGATCGGTAGGAAACAAGCGATTTGGATGTTTGGTGCCTAGATATCTGTGACCTGGCTTGCACAATCCACATATTTATATGATTGATTTCTAACTAGTCGAGTCGTCCAGTGGCATATTTCGTTAGTGAATGGCTTTTATTTTAAGACTTATAGTTCATTTGGTAGAGCACTGGGCCAATAATCTGGAGGCTGATGGTACGGAGTCTGCCTCAGGACAGATATTCATTTCACTTTCAGTCATCAGTAAGTATCAATACAAGTATACTATTCAGGTTAAGCATTTCATTCTCTTTAGGAGTACTCGCATCCTGGATGCCACTGCTAGGCAACATCAAGCAAAAGAAAAAGGAAAATGATTTGATTTCCAACTACTTTTGAAGGTGAGTTAGTCGCATGAATTCTGTGTATAAATGATGCACATAATTCACTTGCCTTGAAAATAATGCCTCTGATGCATTTCCACCTACATAGCCTATAGTTTGTCGCCTGTAATTCTCTGAGTTTGTGCTAAGTGTTTTTTCTATCCATTTTATAAAAATAAATATAAGAAGACTTGACCTTAATGTGACAGTAGAAGAAATAAATACAGCATCATTGAAATTGTCTGTACTCAAACTCCGAACATATACTACGGTCATTACTACTATTGTGAACAAGCTTGATAAATGATTATTTCTGAACTGTAAAGTCATATCTGTTGGATAGGTTAGTAAAGATATTACATATAGCAGTGATATGCATTGGCTAGCGGTGGAATCCCCGATGCAAAGTTTGTCCTATTTGGTACTCGTCAGCTGGATGTACCTGCCTCCCAACGAGTGATGTTGTTCCCACCGGGACTCGTACTCGGAAGCGATCGCTTCAAATGCAAGAGCGTTACCGAGTACACCACCGAGCCACGATAGCCAGTTTTTGTGCGACGGGTATTATACAAGGAGTAACACTAAGACACACAGTTTCCACCTTGTTGCATTTCAGTCACTTCCTTGACAAAAGTGGATATAGTTGCTTACTGTTAAGTATGAATTAAGCATCACTGTGTCATTACTTTCTATTTGTTGCAGAAACCATATAGTCAGCCAGTCACAACTTTTTTTCCACTGTATACCTCATGACTGAAGTTATAGTGTCTAGTTTCTTACTGTGGTTTCTTCGCCAAGTGAGCTGTTCTACCTCTACCTTGATATTTTCATGTAGTTTCAGTTTCTATATCAATCTTAATTAGTGAATAGAAGTGAAATTCATAAAACTGAATGTACCTCATGGATGTCTGATGGTTTCTCAAAACGACTGTAAATTAACTAAACAAGAAAATAATGAATGATACTTAGATAAATGTGTTTTTCACTTTTCTTCTGATAAATATAGTTTACAGACAATATGAGCTAAATTCTTAAGGTGATATACTCAAATTAGTTGATCAAATCCATTAAATTAGCTTTCAGAAAAGGTCATACATAAAAATACAATAAGTGAATAAAAAAGGATTCATTTTCGTTCACTTATTTAAGAACGCCTTTATCAATTTATTATAATAACAGAGGAGACTAAATGACACACTTAACAATACCATTTCACTAATAGAATGAAATAACGATCAAATAAAGGTGCTGAAAATAGACTATGCATATTTTATTTGGTAGTGCCAGCAGTCGAATCCAGGATGCGCGTTTCAAAGTGAAATTTATCATATTTGCAGCCCACCTTAAGGAATTCTTTAGATAGTCAATAGGATGATTTAAAGCGATTTCTGTAGTAGTGATAATAGCACAGTCACAGAAATCTAACTATAGACGAATATTTATAAAGCTATAAAGAAATACTACTTGTCATGCAGTGAGTTACAGAAGGTCTGCTAGCTGAATTCAAATCATTCTATGCGACGTAACTATTTCAAGGATTGGTATCTGCAAATTAATGTGTTATGTAAGTTACTTGTATATAAGCTAATTCCTTCACGACAGCCCTCATAGTATATGGAAAGCTTCAGCTTTAGTAATATCTCCAGATTAATAAACCCACTGAGTTTTCAATCAGAGTAAGGATCAATTAATCACTAATATATTATTACTTCAAGTTATATTTCCAAATTAATTTTATCAAACTACTTACTTACTTCTACTACTTGTACTGGTACATAACTCATTTGAGCTAAAATTCTATCATCAGCATACGGATTATCCTCTTCAAATGGGAATAAAATTAAATTATTAATATCCAGTTTTTTTTTAAGAACATAGGCTTGATCATCGAATAAATTTGTAACAAGTTTGCCTAAATGTCTTTTTGGATTGGATATATTGTTTCTTCGTTCATTACTATTACGTTTATTTTTGCTTTGATTGGTTGTAAGGGTTTGAGGAACTGTCTTCATATGATGACGTTGAACTTCCAGTTTTGAAAGATTAGAACTTATCAAATACACTGAATATATCAAAAGTAAAATCAATAATATGAATGAAAGTCTTTTTGTTAGCAGTAATTGTCTCCGACATTCATACATATGTGTGAAAATTCTAGAAAATTCTGGTAATGATGAAAGTGACGGTGAAGTAGAGAATGATACCATCTATGAAGTCAATGTTGACAATATTATCCACAAAAGTGTTTTAGGATAGCTGGAAACTGGAAATTTGTAGTCACTATTGGGTAGGCTGCCACAGGCACATGTTATTATTTCTCATACAACATATAAGAGAAAAAAGTAATGCATGTAACCAGACTTTAAACACTGCTGTTAACATAAATTGAAGCGTGTACCCGTTTTGTTCAATGCACGTATAATTGAAGAATGAATTTGCTGAAGAACGCTCTGTTTTCTGTGTACATAAATATACAGATAGTTGTAGCAGTAGCAATTAAATAAATATTTTACCTACCTTTTAATTATAAAAGTTCAAGGTTATAGTGTAGATTACGTATACACTCAGCTATTTGTCACCTAACCATTACTCAACACCTGATTGGTCAGTATTTACTACTTTTGGTTAATTGGTTAATCTGTTTTATGTATGGATAAGTTCATTTACTTAAACAGATAATTTATTGTCTTTGTTAGACATAAAAATAAATTGGTTGAGTTACAAAAAGACTCAAAAATTTAAAGCCAATCCTCTGACGTTTCTGTCAGAGGTGAAGCAGAGGAACAGCCAACAGGAAAGTCTATACAATCAATGACACAAGAACCAAAGGAAACAACCAACCACAGACCAAATCGTCATAGCAAGCCACTAAATCACTCATGGAGAGATATTGACAGCTCACTTCATACTGAAGTTAGCGCTGATGATGTCATCTAGCAAGACGATGAAAGCTTCGTGACTAAACAACCCAGCTCAGAGAACACAATACAACCAAGACCATCCACCTGAGCTACAAATATTCTCCATCATTTCATAGGAATATTGTATTTTATATAAAGTATGAAAGCTCAGTTTTTGTGTAGTGTAGATCGTTAAGTAATTCGTGTATGTGATAAAGGCTATAACCATTCACCACTTCACTTGAGGGATTATATTTAGTTTGAATTTATTCCGACTGAAAATCCCTTACATAAATTAGTGATTTCCTCAAACACAGCACGAACTTATGACAGAAACAGACTGTGGATACATTAAAATATCTCGGAATAAAATTTGAGAGTCAAAGATTTCTGAGCCCACAGCCCTAGGACTTTAATACTTTTAAGTCGTGATTATAATAAGTAAATGTCACTTGAATACGTTTATTCTTTTGTATAACTTCAAAACACTTTCTTTTGGGATGAAGAGATTTCCAGTGCACACACTTGGTGTTCCGAGAAACATAGAAAAGCATAGTTTAACGATCCTGATAAGCTTTGAAATGGGAGTTTGGACTTTAGGTTAGAAACTTCATTGTCTGAACTTTCTTTGTTTAGTAATACAACATATAATGGAATAAAATCAGTGAGACAAAAAGGCCAAATATAAGCGGATAAAACAAAATACACAACGTTAAAACGATATTTGTGATAATGCAGTTTACCGTTCCCAAGCGTAATATTGAGTTACTTCATTGACTGGTCACTGGAGAGCAACCTAATAACCTATTATCTAGTCCTAAATGCTGATTAAATTCTGTTAATTACTTTGACACTAAGCTGGGAGACTTAGTAACACGATGCACTTTGGTGGATGTTAGTTGATTAAAGGGGATACTCATTAATTTATCATTCAATGAATGAAGTGTATCATTATGTTTTGGATGAAATTAAAGAGGATTGAATTAGGTGATGAATAGACATGGAATAATGTTGACCTTACCTATTTTGCATTGCTCATAAAGAAGGTATATCTTACAAACTAAAGTTCTTACCATATGACATGAAGAGAATTTAGGTGGTCTCAATAGTAGTTTCAGGGTTCCATTAAACTGATTTCAGTGAAAAGAAGGATAAGTTGGGTACTGCGTCTCATTTTACACGATACATTCATTATCGTCTTTGAACAGTATGAATCAATCCTAAACAAGGAAAGTAACATAAATAGTAAGGAGCAAGATATTTTTCAGCAGATAAATATTTCTTTTCACCGACTTTATTATCAAACTGCATGAGTCTATTTATACTCAATGGAACATCTAGTAAAATAACCAATGTGAGAGAAGAAATATTTCTTTTCAATTACTTCCTCATCAATGGCTCTACACTAATATAGCATTTTCAAAACGTAAAATTACATACCAATCTAGTGGTGAGAGTTGTTTAATGAAAGTTTATCAATCTCAAAGTATCAAGAAGGTGATAATTGATCAAGTAATTAAGACAATTAGCCAAAGCATAGATTCATTATAGTAGAAAGATTTTCTGGAATTTTAATCTAGTTCCGGTGGGAACAACATCACTCACTGGGAAGCAGGTACATCCAGTCGACGAGTCCCAAGTAGGACGAAATGCACATCCTGGATTTCACTGCTAGACACTGTCCATCATTAATAAACCTAGTTCTTACATAATTGATATTTTGTACAATGGTAACGAAAGAGCGAAAATGAATTGTTACGTAAAGTGGTAAATTGCTGATGGTAGGGGGAGAACAAGATGGCTAAAGTTGTAATAATAATAATAATACTAGAGCCATCAATGTATTATTTGTAACCACTTGTGGGATGAATGAAATGGAGGGTCTTGTTGTAATAAATAAGTTATACAGATGGCCATGGCAAAGAAAGAGGCTGTACTTATTTCGTCTGAACATACAAACTTGGCTTGTCGAGTTGGATTCCTATAGCTTCTCATGTATGTAAAAGACGAACTCGTAGAGCATGTGCGAGGTTAGGAGGAATGCGATAAATAACTCTAAAAGCATTATGAATGTTAACTTCGTGGCCAGTGTCAATCCGATGCGAAAGTATTGAGCTTAGTATCGATATGGTTTTCCTTTACTTCGCCATGCAGGGTGATGCTCAGCGATTTGACGACAGACTTGCCTAACTGTACGTTCAATGTAACTAGCTCCATAGAAGCAGTTGAACTGGTAAATGCACATAGAAGAGGAGAAGCCAGGTAGTCTGTCTTTAGTTCGCGTTCCCATCCTCGGCCAACAGTATACCTTAGCAACATTAAATGATCTTCTTGTGGCATTTCTTAAATGCTGCGTTATAATTTCTCTGATGTCATCACCCTGAAATTGTAGTCTCAAGAACGATGGTTTCTTGAAGACTGTAAGTATTCTGGTTTTCATATTGGATGTGTTCATATTTTTAGCCAGGAACGTTTCTGGATATCCATTACTACTGAGTAGATCGTGGATAATTTGAAGCTCTTCGTCAAAACTATCATCTGAACAGATGAGTCTCACCCGATGGACTAAACATTTAACGAAATTTCGTTTATATTGCAAGGGGACGAAACTCAAGAAGTGAGTGTACTGACATGTTGACGTTGGTTTCCGATATACACTTCTTTTTACAGTTCCGCCCGCCTTCCATGCCAGTCAAACATACAACAAGGTGATTCTGTTGTAACTTTCTGTCTTAATGGTGAAGGTTATCGCTGGATGGAACCTATTTAATTTAACCAGTATAATTCTCACATAGTTCTCGTTATTCACAATCAAGAATGACACATCTACATAACGTCAGTAAAAATCTAACCCGCTTACGAAACTTTCCTGAGTGACATTTTCGAACTTCGCTAAGAAAAAAACAAATAATATTGGAATTAAAGGTGACCCCATAGATAAACCATCCAACTATTTACATCAACAGCTCTATTATTGTTATTACAATTATTTTTGTTCTGTCAACTTGTTAAATTTCGCATGTAGATCTTCGAGTTTGTGCAACAAGACATTAGACATAAATCATCATAGGCGAAATCCAAATCTTTCAGGATCTCCTCATCGATCCAGACAGCATATTACCCTCTTCTCGCTCCTCACGCTTCGCTGCATGATCCAGTCCAGTTCAGTCGACCACAATCAGGAAGATGATCGGTGATGATAGTAGACAGTCTTGTTTTACTCCTGTCTTCACTTCAGAGGCATCACTGAGCTCTACATTGTGAATCACTCGACATGTAGCATCATATAGCATATAGTTGTTGAATGAGGTTGATAAAGGTTTATAGCACTAAAAGCGTAGTATTGAATCACTTGGCAAACTATTTCTCAGTTGACTCTGTCGAAGGCCTTTTCGAAGTCGATGAAGTTGAGGTAAGGTGGAGATTTGACTGTCATTCTATGCTTTGTTGTACGATGATGCGTAGCGTGGCGTTGCAATTTGATCCTCACATGGTTTGTTTTTCCTGAAGCCAACCAGTCCGTTCCTGTAGTTATTTTGAATCCAGTGCATTGTCTAGTCTCTTCAGGATGATATGGCCTAATATTTTGCTTGCTTGGTGTGAACAGGAGTGGAGTATGATTCTGCACCAGTTGTTGCAAAACCTTAGGTCGCCCTTCTTCGGGAGCTTGGCAAGTTAAGCCTTCTTCCAATAGATCAGCAAGGACCTTTCCTTACTTCCGTACAAACCTTCTGCAGTAGTGGTGTTGGCATGTACGCTGTTGTCTCTCAGTCTGTTTTCAGTGCTGCTGGAGGAATCCTATCTTGCCCTACTGCGTTCAGCAGTTTTATGGCATAGGGTTTGTGCACACGAGAGATTATGAGGTTGCTGGTGGCATTTCTGGACAAGTTGCAGGTGGTGGTCGTCGTCGATTCAAGAGTTTTTTGATGTGATGAGCCCATTCTTTCCTTTGTCTCATCTCTATGGTAACTAGCTTTCCTTCACTATCTTTCACTGGTTTCATCTGCGTTGACACCTCCACAGATAGTAATCTGGTTATCTGATATAATGTTGTCAGGTCTCTCCTACCAGCAGCCTGTTCTGATTCACTTGCCAGTGTGTCATAGAAGTGTCTTTTGTCTTCCCATGCACTCTTCTTCACTTCTTTGTCCAGTGTAGTGTTTTGTAGGTTGTGTCCAGTTCCTCTCTTCGTCGTTCACCCCTGCACGCCACTGCACTGCACTGCACTACTTCATCTTCTGCTTCACCATCACCATCCTCCTCTCCCTCCTCTACCAGCTTCTGTATGTCCATCGAGATGCATTACTTGTCTTGTTTCCTCTTCCCTCCTTAATTCGGTTATGCAGGTTTATTTCCAAATAGCTTTCAAAGAGTTCCAATGCTTTTCCAAGCCCAATGCTTCAAGGATGTTGCTCAGTGTCTCCCATTTTGTCCTGATGGTTGATTGACATGAAGATGTCCCTTGTAGTTTCGCCCTTCACTTCACTTTCTGTTCTGGGTATTCAACTTGAACTATGGTCGTCTATCACCAGCTTTTTCGAATTGAATGCTTTCAACTTGATTTTGAAGGTAGGTGCCTTGCACCAGATATTGAGTGGTGTGAACCTATATCTGTTCCTCTTCTTGATCCGATCTTGTATCCGGGAGGCTGCGTCCCTTCCTTCACCTTGAAATGAAATCGATCTGATGTTTTGTGTGTCCTGATGTCTGATGAAATCCATGTCGCTTGCTTTGT